CCTGGATTAAGTGCAAAGTAGCTCAGACTGGGGAGCGACTTGCAGCAGAGCGGCAATTTTCTCTGTGTTCCCCCCCAAAACCAGTTCCCCAGTAGAATACCAGGAACACAGGAGATGTGTTTGCAAAGTGACATGCCTCGTCTGGAAGTTTGTTGTTGTTGTTTAGTCGTGTCCGACTCTTCGTGACCCCCTGGACCAGAGCACGCCAGGCACTCCTGTCTTCCACTGCCTCCCGCAGTTTGGTCAAACTCATGCTGGTAGCTTCGAGAACACTGTCCCACCATCTCGTCCTCTGTCGTCCCCTTCTCCTTGTGCCCTCCATCTTTCCCAACATCAGGGTCTTTTCCAGGGAGTCTTCTCTTCTCATGAGGTGGCCAAAGTATTGGAGCCTCAGCTTCAGGATCTGTCCTTCCAGTGAGCACTCAGGGCTGATTTCCTTCAGAATGGAGAGGTTTGATCTTCTTGCAGTCCATGGGACTCTCAAGAGTCTCTTCCAGCACCATAATTCAAAAGCATCCATTCTTCGGCGATCAGCCTTCTTTATGGTCCAGCTCTCACTTCCATACATCACTACTGGGAAAACCATAGCTTGAACTATACGGACTCAGGTCTCAGGTGCTGGCGATCATGGAGTCTTTTGCACCAATGGAGAAGATATTTAAACTTGAACCTGCACAATAATAGTAGGGGACTGCAGGGGCAGTGAAGAGGAACTTTCCTTCCATGAACGTCATTAAGGCTGTAGTGCTAAGCATATCTGCTAGGGTGAAAGGCACATTTGGTTCATTGGGGCTAACTTCCCAGTAAGCATGCTATAGATAGCACTGCAACCTTAACTTATCTTCAGCTCCAAACAAATATTTATTTATATATAAGTTTATTTATTAATATACATTTCTACGTTGCCCTTCATCTGAGGATCACCGGGTGGTTTACAATATATAATCACAAAAATACACAACCCATCAGTTCTTAATAATAATAATAATAATAATAATAATAATAATTTATTTATACCCTGCCCATCTGGCTGGGCCTCCCCAGCCACCCTGGGTGCCCCCAACAAAATATCAAAATACAGTAATGCATCAAACATTAAAAGCTTCCCTAAACAGGGCTGCCTTCAGATGTCTTCTAAAAGTCTGGTAGTTGTTGTTCTCTTTGACATCTGATGGGAGGGTGTTCCACAGGGCAGGCGCCACTACCGAGAAGGCCCTCTGCCTGGTTCCCTGTAACCTCACTTCTTGCAGTGAGGGAACTGCCATAAGGCCCTCGGCGCTGGACCTCAGTGTCCAGGTAGAACGATGCGAGAGACGTACCTTCAGATATACTGGACCGAGGCTGTTTAAGTTCTCCACACCATTCTGAGATTTCCCTTTTAAAAAGCCCTTGTGATAATTCACCAACACTTTAGAGCAAAGTGCTCCTGATATACAAATTTTTGTGTGCAATTTTGCCCAATCTGCACATTTTTTTTTGCAAAGCGATTCCCCCTAATACAATGCACCTTTCTTTGCTATTTCCATTCACTTTTCTATTTTTACACACAACATGCAGCTAGTATATGCATTTTCATACATAGCACCGGGACTGGAAAACTGCATTACAAAATTCAGATGAGTGTGTTGTGAGCTGCCCAGCCAGATGGGTGGGGTAGTATTATTATTATTATTATTAATTAATTAATTAATTAATTAATAATGTGTTTTGGTTCTCAAATTAGGAAGGTTCACCTTTTAAAGCTAGCTGAATTTCTCCTCCATCCCTATTTATTTGTAGGATCTATCCCAGGGCAGTTCACCCCTCCACCTCTGGCTGACTCAGAATTCGAACACACTTCTCCAAGGGAGTGTCCCCAAATTCCCAGATGCCTGCAACAGATGCTCCATATGACAAGTCAGTTTGGGGTTGCCATATGGCACTGTTGGGCAGATTTTGCCCTGACTGAAGCCATGCCAGCCTCTACCCATTTGGAATATTAGTTGGCCCGGATCCCCAGCTTTTATTAAAACGGGAGAGGGAGCAAGTATCTAGTGGTTTAGTATTATAAACCCTTGTCTGTCTGCACTGGCACTCAATGTAAGGCAGCTCTGTGTTCCATTGTAGCCCATTGAAGGGGAAAGAAATATAACATCTGTACTGAGTTCCTTTTTCTCGTTGCTGGTAGTTGTTACCAGCTGGGAGCCAGAGAGAGGTTCTGCTGTATAGATTCCCCAGAAGACAAACCTCTGAAAGTTCTCCAGTACATCTTGGGGTGGTGAATTTCAATACGATACGATACCTTTATTGTCATTGCCCCATACAGAACAACGAAATTGAAAAATCTACCTAAGGCATTCAAAAACCAACAAGCCTGCTATCCCAGCCTGGTTAGTCCCTAAAAACTCTGATACCCCATTTTTAAATACAGTGGTACCTCAGGTTACATACGCTTCAGGTTACAGACTCCGCTAACCCAGAAATAGTCCTTCAGGTTAAGAACTTTGCTTCAGGAGGAGAACAGAAATCAGGCTCCGGCGGCGCAGTGGCAGCAGGAGGCCCCATTAGCTAAAGTGGTGCTTCAGGTTAAGAACAGTTTCAGGTTAAGTACAGACCTCCGGAACAAATTAAGTACTTAACCTGAGGTACCACTGTACAATATACTCCCATAGAGACTCCTTATACTGTATTTAAAACCAAAATCGCATTTGGGTAGAAACTGTTTCTCAGGCATCTAGTCCTGGTCTTTATAACCCTGGACCTTCTTCCAGAAGGCAGAAGCTGAAAGAGATCATTTCCGGGGTGTTCAATATCCTGCGCTATCTCTGCAGCTTTCTTATGGCACTTAGAAGCATTGATTTGATCTAAGGTGGGAAGAGTGCACCCAATTATTCTCTCCGCAGTCTTTACAACCCTGGACAGCATTTTTTTTCGCGAGGCACCGTGCGAAGGAACAGGGTTCTGTTCTCCCCATCCTGTCCAGCTCCTCTTCTCTGTCTCGTGCTTGCTAACTTGTGACTTCACAATCGTCGGGTTACCATGGAACGGATTATTCTGCCGTGAACGAAAGCCTTTTTTGGCTCACCCGCTTCCAAAGCCTTTTCAGGGGCTGCGGAGGCTGGCTAGGGAGGAAGGGGGGACTACTCAGGAGTAAGGATGGGCAGATCTATTGATTTCAGTTTCCGGTTTTTGCAGTGATCGGATCTATTCTCCACATCACTTTGTTATTTGTCGTTGCTGTTAAATGCTGAAAGTTAATCAACAATATAGTGGGAAATTCTCCTGCAATTGACATTTTTATCTTCAGTTTTCCCTAATATACACTTTTTTTTTTGCAAAGCCATTTCTGCAAATATGATGCATTTATGTACATTATATTCACGAATATATGTGTTTTTGTGGACACTTTGCCTCAGTATATACATTGCTGTACACGTTACTAGGCTGGACTTCCCTGAGTCCAGTTACCATATTTTCCCATGTATAAGATGATTTTTGTGCTTAGAAAAAAATAGTCAAAAATTGCGGGCTGCCTTATACATGGATGGTGAATGCACAGCTTTGGGCTTTGGCTCTGGCCCTATTTCTTAATTTTGGGTTCAAAAAAATTAGAGGTCATCTTATACATGGGGGCATCTTATACATGGGAAAATACGGTATATTTCCCAGTTCTTTAATGAAACCCACCCATCATCAAAAGAGCATCTTTAGCTCCCTCAGCAAGGGTTGTGGCAGAGCATCTGTCTTCTGCATCGATCTGTTTCCTCTCCTGCCTTCGCCCCGCCATTTCCAGGCTGGATTAAATGGCCATTTTGGCTGCCCTCAGCGACGGGGATTATGTCCTAAAGGAAATTATGTCCTCACATTACACAACGCCTCTCGACAGACCACCTCTGAGTTTCTCTTCCTGGCCTGGGAACAGGCAGCCATTAAACTTTCATCAGGTGTTTAAGCGACTGCTGATGCTCCCCTGTGGAAAAACACCAAATTTTTCACCAGATTCATCCGTGAATCCAAGCCCACCTCAAAATATGCTTCTGCCTGAGGCGAAGGGGAAGATGGAGACTCTCTATGCTGTATACAAAACACCACCAGGGATGGGGCTCTGAGCCCTTGTGGCACCTGTTTAACCATGGCGCTCTTTTAAGCCACCCTGTTCTCTAGTGGCGGTGAATGATTGTATAGCTATATTTTAGGGCCCCACTCTCTTGGGGCCCCCTAAAAAAATTAAAGGAAAAAAAACTGAATATACATTTCCAAAATATAAGATAAAAAGCAAATAAAATAAAACCTACATGCAGCAACAGTGTTCTGTGTTGTGTAGGCTCCTATGATGTAAGTCATGGGCCCCTCTGCTAGCCTGCTCCCTAAAACATCACCAGTTTGCTCCTTTCTATATATAGGGATGCGGGTGGCGCTGTGGGTTAAACCACAGAGCCTAGGACTTGCCGATCAGAAGGTCGGAGGTTCGAATCCCCGCGACGGGGTGAGCTCCCGTTGCTCGGTCCCTGCTCCTGCCAACCTAGCAGTTTGAAAGCACGCCAAAGTGCAAGTAGATAAATAGGTACCACTCCGGCGGGAAGGTAAACGGCGTTTCCGTGCGCTGCTCTGGTTTGCCAGAAGCGGCTTAGTCATGCTGGCCACATGTCCCAGAAGCTGTACGCTGGCTCCCTCGGCCAATGAAGCGAGATCAGCGCCGCAACCCCAGAGTCATCCGTGACTGGACCTAATGGTCAGGGCTCCCTTTACCTTTATATCTAGGGTGCCTACATTCTGCATGGACTGGTTGCATGGCAACCTGTGCAAATGGCTTGATATACCTATTAGATCCATAAATTACCATATAGCATATATTCAACACAAAAAACAGCGACCATTTGTTGTTGACAAAGGACAGCTGGACATATAAAGGGCCCCATTACCTTCAGTAGCTTAGGGCCTCATCAAACGTAAATCCGGCCTTGACTGTGGTAGTGGCAAGGGTGGGGGCTGAAGATTCGGCTGCCCCAAAGTGTGGATGCGAATGGCTCAGTGGGTCAGTGCGTTTGGCTGTGAACCAGAAGGTAGGTAGTTCAAGCCCACCCAGGGACAGCTAGATGACTGGCAGGGTCCCTTCCAACTCTATTTATTTATTTTATTTATTTATTGAATTCATATACTGCCCTATACCAGGGATGGGTGGGTCACAGAATAAAATCAAGATATAAAACCACAAACTACCTAATAAAAATGAAAGCAACAGCCCAATAAACCCTTCCCTAAAAAAGCCACATTTGAAAAGGGTGTTGGATGTCAATAAGATCAACCAAAGGCCTGGTTAAAAAGGAATGTTTTTGCCTGGCTCCTAAAGGTGTGTAATGAAGACACCAGGTGAACTTTCCTGGGGAGAGCATTCCACAGACAGGGAGCCACTGCAGAGAAGGCCCTGTTCTTGTGTCCGGACCTTTCAAGGAGGAGGTACACAGAAGATGATCCCAGGGACTGGGTAGGTTCATATGAAGAGCGGCGGCCCAGAGCCATTTAAGACTTTATAGGTCAAAACGCAACAGTTCTGTGATTCCATATTGGACAAGATTTGCCACACACAGGTCAACCTCTCCTAGAGAGGTGGGTGAGAGGCATCTCACCCTAGCTGGGAGTTCCTTAGGCTTCCAGTTCCAGGAATCGAAAGGGCCATAAAGTTTCTGTGCCTGTCAACGTGCACTTTGTTCTGCAAATAGACACAAGACTACAAGCAATCTCAGAAGAATGTGGCTTATTTAGGTCACAGGCACAGCATTCCCAGCCCTACGGAGAGCTCCACAGCAATGAGACTTGCTGCTGGAAGATTGGGCGAAATTCTGGGGCTTGCACAGAGCAAGGGACCTCCAGATTCCCAGACTATCCCTGTATCTCGGACCAGCTCCATCTGGTATGCAAGCTGAGACCCTACCTGCCTGCGGACTGTCTCGCCAGAGTGGTGCATGCCCTGGTTATCTCCTACTTAGACTACTGCAATGCACTCTCCGTGGGGCTACCTTTGAAGGTGACCCAGAAACTACAACTAATGCAGAATGCGGCAGCTAGACTGGTGACTGAGAGTGACCGCCAAGACGATATACCACCGGTCCTGAAATACCTCCATTGGCTCCCAGTACGTTTCCGAGCACAATTCAAAGTGTTGGTGCTGACCTTGAAAGCCCTAAATGGCCTGGGCCCAGTAGGCCTGAAGGAGCGTCTCCACCTTCATCGTTCAGCCCGGACACTGAAATCCAGCTCCGAGGGCCGTCTGGCAGTTCCCTCCCTGCGAGAAGTGAGGTTACAGGAAACCAGGCAGAGGGCCTTCTCGGTAGTGGCACCCGCCTTGTGGAACGCCCTCACTTCCGATGTCAAGAAAATAAACAATTATCTGACTTTTAGAAAACATCTGAAGGCAGCCCTGTTTGGGGAAGTTTTAAATGTTTGATGTTTTATCATGTTTTTAAGATTCTGTTGGAAGCCGCCCAGAGTGGCTGGGGAGGCCCGGCCAGATGGTCAGGGTATAAGTAATAAGTTGTTGTTGTTGCTGCTGTTGTTGTTGTTACCTCTGTGCTGACCTCCCTGTCCTTTAAGTTTAGACCAGGCATCCCCAACCTGCGGCCCTCCAGATGTTTTGGCCTACAACTCCCGTGATCCGTAGCTACCAGGACCAGTGGTCAGGGATGATGGGAATTGTAGCCCAACAAAACTGGAGGGCCGAAGGTTGGGGGTGCCTGGTTTAGACTGATATGTCTTAGGTTGCATCCTGTTCACAGAGTCCTCTTCGCACTTCCCTCAACACTCAACACTGTGTGTTTTTCTGGGGAAAGCCCCATGAGAGCGTTGCCTCAAGATATCATTAACTGAGGTGCGGGCAGCTGGGGAGGCTGCATGGTGCAGACCACAGGTGAGGCAGTTTGTAGAATGAAGGAAAAGACACTCCCAAACACCCCTTGGCCACCTCAAAAATAAGATACGTGCATCAAAACTCTGCACCCCACCCACAAGTATTTTGCTGAAATTTCCTCCCCCCCTTGGATGAATTTTCAAGAGCAATTCCTATTTCTCATTAATTGATGGATCACGGGAGGAGAATTTTCCAGCATGGCAATAGGAAACCAAAAAAATATATGCTCCTAGCCAGCAAATATTATTAATTGAAATCTCTTTCGAAATGGTGTGCGTGCAAAATTGTTGTTGTTGTTTAGTCGTGTCCGACTCTTCGTGACCCCATGGACCACAGCACGCCAGGCACTCCTGTCTTCCACTGCCTCCCACAGTTTGGTCAAACTCATGCCGGTAGCTTCGAGAACACTGTCCAACCATCTCGTCCTCTGGCAGTGGCTCTCCGGGATTTCAGAGAGGGGGCGATCCCTGCTCTACCCGGAGATGCGAGCAGAGATTGAACCTCTGATCTTCTGCATGTGAAGCCAATATTCTAGCCCTCGCCTTAGCAGACCAACAGATCAGGATGCTTCCCTCGCTGCTTAGTTTCTTGTTGTTGTTTAGTTGTTTAGTCGTGTCTGACTCTTTGTGACCCCCATGGACCAGAGCACGCCAGGCACTCCTGTCTTCCACTGCCTCCCGCAGTTTGGTCAAACTCATGCTGGTAGCTTCAAGAACACTGTCCAACCATCTCGTCCTCTGTCGTCCCCTTCTCCTTGTGCCCTCCATCCTTCCCAACAGAGAAGAGTCTTCTCTTCTCATGAGGTGGCCAAAGTATTGGAGCCTCAGCTTCAGGATCTGTCCTTCCAGTGAGCACTCAGGGCTGATTTCCTTCAGAATGGATAGGTTTGATCTTCTTGCAGTCCATGGGACTCTCAAGAGTCTCCTCCAGCACCAGAATTCAAAAGCACCCATTCTTCAGTGATCAGCCTTCTTTATGGTCCAGCTCTCACTTCCATACATTACTACTGGGAAAATCAGAGCTTTAACTATACGGACCTTTGTTGGCAAGGTGAGGTCTCTGCATTTTAAGATGCTGTCTAGGTTTGCCATCGCCTTTCTCCCAACGAGCAGGCGTCTTTTAATTTTGTGGCTGCTGTCACCATCTGCAGTGATCATGGAGCCCAAGAAAGCAAAATCTCTCACTGTCTCCATTTCTTCCCCTTCTATTTGCCAGGAGGTGATGGGACCAGTGGCCACAATCATCTTAGTGTGCACAATTAGGAGTATATTTACTGGTATAAGTTCAGCAAAATCACCTGATAGATCCCCTCCTGGACTGTACCACTTCAGACAGCACATGGGGAGGGGGGGAAAGACTGCAGATCAGAAATCTCCCTGTGGTAGAAAAGGAGAGGGTGGAAGGTCGGAGAAAACAATGTTGGTCTAGTCATCTTCTGAATATGTTGATTTCCTACATCCTCTTTTTTTAAGGGAGGCATTTCCTCTGCAAAAGTGTCTGCCCTCGGGATGATCTTACATCGTTGAGGGCTCAGTTGGACTGATCTTCTGGATAAGCCATTTTTTTTTTTTTAGATAGAGCGCCAGGCCCAAATTTCAAGGGATGTGAAACCTGTAGCATCTGCTATCAGGCTTTCCTCATGCTGAAACAATTAAACCCGTTTGTGTTGCTAAATGATCTCCTCTCTGATTCAGACACAATAGCCTGCAAACAAAAGGAAATCACCTGGCCTGTCCCTTTGCGGCCAACCTGTATCGAATTCCTTGGCAACCTTACAAAACTGGCTAGACAAAAAAGCCAAAAGCAAGAGGAGAAGGCCATACTATTCACGCCCCCCCCCTTCTCTCCTGCATATTGTTCTGAGGTTCAGAAGTTAGGGACTGCTCCATTGTGCTTTCTCTGAGAGGGTTGAAAAATTGATGTGCGTTTCCTGATGGGTCTTGTCAGAACCCCCATGAAACTTTGATAACATACCTGTCCGTGCGTCGCAGGTGGCACTAAACTGGGAAGAGTTGCAAATACTGTAGAGAAGTTAAGCATTCAAAATGATCTTAATAAACAAGAGCAGAAAGCAGAGAGCAACAGGATAGAATTCGACATGGAGCAATGAAACACACTGGGCTTGATCCAGACTGAAGCTGCGATCCTGTACACACTTGACTGAGTCTCATTGAATTCCTTCCAAGCAGAGCAATCCCTATGTATATTTGCTCAAAAGTAAGACCCACTGTAAGGGATGTGGGTGCTGCTGTGGGTTAAACCACAGAGCCTAGAGCTTGCCGATCAGAAGGTCGGCGGTTCGAATCCCTGCGACGGGGTGAGCTCCTGTTGCTCAGTCCCTGCTCCTGCCAACCTAGCAGTTCGAAAGCACGCCAGTGCAAGTAGATAAATAGGTATTTCCGTATGCTGCTCTGGTTCGCCAGAAGCAGCTTAGTCATGCTGGCCACATGACCCGGAACCTGTACGTCGGCTCCCTCAGCCAATAAAGCGAGATGAGCGCCACAACCCCAGAGTCGGTCACGAATGGACCTAATGGTCAGGGATCCCTTCACCTTTACCTTTACCAGCAAATAAGGATTGTGGGTGGCGCTGTGGGTTAAACCAGAGAGCCTAGAACTTGCCGATCAGAAGGTCGGTGGTTCGAATCCCTGCGACGGGGTAAGCTCCCGTTGCTCGGTCCCAGCTGCTGCCAACCTAGCCGTTCGAAAGCATGTCAAAGTGCAAGTACATAAATAGGTACCGCTCCGGCGGGAAGGTAAACGGCGTTTCCGTGCGCCAGAAGCGGCTTAGTCATGCTGGCCACATGACCCGGAAGCTGTACGCCGGCTCCCTCGGCTAATAAAGTGAGATGAACGCCGCAACCCCAGAGTCGTCCACAACTGGACCTAATGGTCAGGGGTCCCTTTACATTTACCTTTAAGACCCACTGTGTTCAATGGGGCTCACTTTCAGATATATCAGTTTTCACTCTCTTCATTTCTTATTTTCCCAATCTTAAGTGTTCCTGAAGCCACTGGCTATTTTTTAAAATCCTCGTGAAAATCCCTCGGCATTTTTGCGTGAAGTTCTCATAGCAAGCACTCCGGATTTGTGTAAGGGTTAACTCCCTAGCCTTTTCGTCTCTCAAAGATGTTCTGCAAGGCAGCAGCAGCAAGAGGCCCCATTAGCTAAAGTGGTACCTCAGGTT